CATTATTGTACTGAGTACAGGTAGTCCTCGATTTATGATGTGTTCGAGTTACGGCAAACTGCAGTTACGACTATCGGTTTTTTTTTTCTTAATCATTAGTAACAGATACGCCATACAATGTTGCAGCATGTAATTTGCTGATACTATCATTATCATGTCAACCCCCAAAGACAAGTAAAATCAGATTTGTAAAGATACTGATAATAAAAGGCAATAATAACGAAAGCTTTTTTAAAAATGAGGTGTTCAACTTACGTCAGAATTGACGTAAGATGGAGTCGTTGGAACAGAACCCTGTCATGAGTCAGGACTATCTGTATAATGCCAAACCAAACTCCTTGGTGTCAGGTGATTCCGACTCATAGCGACCCTATAGGACAGAGGAGAACTGCCCCATAGGGTTTCCAAAGAGTGGCTGGTGGATTCGACCTGCGGACATTTTGGCTAGCAGCCAAACTCTTAACCACTTCACCACCAGGGCTCCACTACCTGTATATAACAGTGAATAAAAAGAGACAGAAAGCCTTCCTCTCATGGAGCTTAATCTGGTGGAGGGAAACAGATACTAACAAAAAACATATTGTAAGTCACAGTCTGAGAAGTACTCTGAAGAAGAATAGAGCAGGGTAAGGGGAATAAAAAATGACCAGGGGATTTAGGGATGGAATGTTATTTTAAGAAGAAGAATTGGCTAGGGGAGGTGACATTGGAATCGAGACCCTAGGGACAAGCCTTGTGACTCTGTGGGGGAAACTCATTCCAGGCAGAAGGAACAGCACATGCAGGTGCCTGAGGCCGTGCTGGCATGGAATGTGTGAGGGGCAGGAGGCCAGTGTCACTGGAGTGGAGGGAACATGGTGGGGCATGAGGTTAGAGAAGAAGGAGTTGTAGTGGGGAAGCTCATGGGGGTCTTATCAGCCACAAGGAGTTTGGATTTTATTGGGAAGTCATTAGAAAGCAGAGGTGTGGCATGCTCCGGCTTAGATAAAACAAAACAAAAACCACTCTGGCCCCTGTGTAAATAGTAACTTGTATTTTTTTTTTTTTTTTCCAGAGGTGGGGGTGGGTAGGTGGGCAAGGATGGAGGCAGGAGGACCATTTAGGAAACTATTTTATTATTTTAGGGAAGAGATGTGTATGAATTGAAGTAGTGTTAGTAGTAATGGTGAATAAAATAGATAAAAGGTTGTTCCTATTTTACAGGTGAGGAAATGGAGGCTTAGAAAGTTGAGCTAATTCCTTTGCAAGTGGTAAACTACTACTCAGATTAGATCTAATTTCATGGGTCAGCTTCAACCAAATGCCATGTAGATTATCACATTGAAAATTAATAACATCCAAATAAATAAGATTTTACTGTCAATTCAGTGGATTGGGCTACATTAAAAGCAGTTAAACAAGGTATTGTTTTTAGACATTTTCTGTGATCATCCCTCTTTCTTGTTTCCATATAGAAAACATTTAAAAGTCTAATAAATTTTTTTATTGCTGTAAAACTATAGATAGCACAACATTTGCCAGTTGAACATTTTTCACGTATATAACTCAGTGACACCAATTGTATCAATCAAGTTGTACAACCGTCACCAATATCCATTGCCAAATTTCCCATCACCATAAACAGAAAGTCAATGCTTCCTAAGCAATGGTTTCTCCTTTCCCCCCTCCTCCAGTGAAATTTAAATCACATCGCCATTTTACTATATGATTTCTGTGGAGAATGAAAGACTGCAGATGTAAAACCCATAGCCACATACAAACATTCTTCACAATGCTGATGAACAATGACTAATACTTAACATGAAAAAGTTTGCTACTAACAGTTTGGGGAATTGATAAATGATCAGTGACATATGAGAAACCCATTTTTTTTTCCTGGTTCAATAAGCATGGACAAGAGTACCAACAGTTATGGCAGGAGTAATTTGGAAACAAATGTAGGGAGTCTATTCTTCTCATTGAAAGGGGCACATTACTAGTCTAGTCATTGCGTGGCCTTGAGAAGGGAGAATCTTTAGTTCTATTCTGGCCCTACCACTTAAAAAATGTTTATCAGAGAAGAAATTGACTCCTTTATCATCAAGTTTATGGAAGCTTTGTATTTTCTTCAGCACATTTACCTCTTTTGTGATCTCTCTGAGTTACAGGCAAAGTGATTTACTTGTGCGTCTAAAACCTCTGTGTTCCTTGATCTATAGGTTACATTGTGGTTTTTCTCTTCCACATGATCAAGAGCTTCAAAGTAAGCATCTTTCAAAGTAGTGACAAGCAAAATACAGTTGGAGGATCAGTAACTCCCTGTTAAGTGGCTTTGCCTGCTGTCATTGTTGACTGCCAGGGGGTGGTGATCCACGTCAGTCAGTAAAATGACACCTTGGCAAGACTGCAGTCTGCTCCTGGCATGTTTGTGTATGGGAATCCTTTTAGATAATGAGATTTTCATATATTCCAGTACCTCACACAGTGGCTGGAACATAGTAGAAACTCAGTAAATATTTATTAATATTAATTATAACCCATATTTTAAAAACTGTGCTAACATGTAGTAGGTAGATTTGTTGCAGAATGAAGCAATGCAAGAATTTCTCATCAATCCTGAATAAAGTTTATTAATACTAGAATAAATTATCCTTCAAGTAGGCAGAGACTTTTAGCAAGACTCAATGGATTGATATAAACTTATATTTTTAAGCCATCAAACCAAGAAGAGTTTAAGACTAACATTTACTTATTAAGATAATTTCCTAATCATTCTTACAAGAACTTAATGAGTGACAAACTGACGCTGGATATAAATTTATGATTTCCCAAAATAACATTTGATTGGTTTGAGTGATGTCTTACATCAAGTAATCATAGTTAATTTTTGCTTCTGGAGAGATTTGACTTTACCAGTCTATCATGTCATCAGATGTATTTCGAGAATGATTTCTTTGTTGATACAGAGTTAAAGAATTCCTATGGAGATTCTTGAATCTATAACTTGTATTTTTATCTGGGCAGATGGGACAAGTTCAGAATAGTGGCAAAAAAGACTACATTTTTATTTGAAATATGCTACAAGTACATAAAGAATATTTTCACCTTTAAAAATATTTTCAGTTATATAAATCAAGGGCAAAGTGAATAATAAATATAAGTTAGAGCTGACAATGGTGCAAGAAGTGATGTGTCACTTACTTTAAGTTTAAATAATGGGCAATAAATGCTGCCACCTCAGTTTTATTGTAAATATCAACATTTATAACAACAAGAAAATCGGAATAGAGAATGTAAATTATAATTTATAAATATAAATTATATATACTTCTAAAACATGAAAATTATTAGTGTGTTCTTACTGTATTTATTTCTTAAACATTCAATATATATAGTTAAGACCGATGTTTGATTTTAATTCACAAAATAATCCAGGATCTAAAAGAAACTTTGGAGAGTAAAAAAGGATCTATGTTACGAAAAGGATAAAATTGTTAGGTTTTGCATTTCCAGATCCTTTCCTGTAGAATGAACTTTGAATGATCATATTTCTATTATGTTGGTAATAAACCAACCAGTCAATCACTCTAATAAACAAACATAACCCCAACATAAACAACACAAAGGCACACTGAAAATTGGGAAAGGGATAATCACTACAGTTTAGAAACAGTGCAGACAGCATATAGCAATGGTGAGCTTAAACGGGTGGAGTAAAGGATTTTCTCTGTATTATTCTAGCACTTGCTGATCTGAGGAGTCTGGGTCTGGCTCCCTCTTGACCCAGATTCCTGTTTTTCCACTGGACCAGGTGCAGCACAGATCTTTTACAGTGCTCTGCCTTTTTCCAGAGCAGCAGTGGGCACTTATTCCAAGAGCCACTGTGTTTTCCTAAATTGCCGTTACCCTTGAGCTTAAGATCTGGCGGTTAGCCCAACGCACTGCTTCTCAAGCTCTCGCTGCACATTGGAGGCACCTGGGGAGCTTTAATAAACTACCCATATCCTGGCTTCACAGAGATTCTGATTTAATTGGTCTAGGGTGGGGCTAAGGAGCCCTGGTGGCACAGTGGTTAAGTCAAGGATTTCATTTTACTAGGGTCCACAATCAACGCCCCTGGAAGAAGCAGTCAAAAAATGAAATAACTGTGTTGTATTGGGCAAATCTGCTACAAAAGACCTCTTTAAACTGTTAAAAAGCGAAGATGTCAGTTTGAGGACTAAGGTGCACTTGACCCAAGCCATGGTATTTTTCAATCGCCTCATATGCATGCGAATGCTGAGCAATGAAGACGGAAGACTGAAGTTGAATTGATGTCTTTGAACTATAGTGTTGGCAAAGAATATTGAATATTCCACAGACTGCCAGAAGAACAAACAAATCTGTCTTGAAAGAAGTACAGCCAGAATTCTCCTCAGGAGGGAGGATGGCAAGACTTCGTGTTACGTACTTTGGACATAGGGGTGGATTAACCAATAAGGAAGGTGTGCATGGGCTTACAGTAAGCAAGGTACACACGGGCTTACTTGTGTCTAACTTGTGTTTACTTACTAATCGGTTGTGCACAATTTCACTACTATTAGTAAGTAAGCATAAGTAAGACCGTGCCTACCTTTCTTATTGGGTAACCCGTCCATTTGGACATGTTATTAGGAGGGACCCATCACTGGAGAAGGACATCAGGCTTGGTAAAGTGGAGGGTCAGCAACAAGATAGATTGACACAATGTCTGCAACAATGGGCTGAAACATAGCAACGATTGTGAGGACGGAGCAGGACCAGGCAGTGTTTCCCTCTGTTGTACATAGGGTTGCTATGAGTGGGAACCAACTTAATGGCACCTAACAACAGCAACAGGGTGGGGCTCAGGCTTTAACATTTTTGGAAGGCTCCCCAAGTATTTCTAAGGTGCAACTAGAACAAAAAAAACACTGGTTTAGTGAAAGCTTGAAAGAAAGAAGTGGGCACAACCTGTGAAGTTCTGCCTCCATTCTCATCTTAAATTTTATGTTTTCCCACAGGTTCTTCAAGGAATCTTAAAAACTCAGTGAACGCAGACTCAGGTGAACCCAATGATTATGATTCGTGGTTTCTGACTCTTTCCTAAGCTGCTTCTTGAATTCTCTTTGCCCATAATCTTTCTCAGGAGGGAAACGAGACAGAGGTCAGAGAAGAAGAGGGAATCCTGACCGTTTATGGCATTGTATTATTACACACAGTGAGTATATTCTTCCAAATGTCTAGTAAGTGAATTGGGCAGAATGGGGAGTAATGGATTGGTATATCAAAATGTATATACAACAAAATTCATCAAAGTGAACGTTTCCTTTTACCCACATTATCACAGTACAAAAACATTGGCATGGAATTTGGAAAATCTTAGCTTTAAGCCCTGGCTTCACCATTACTTGCTCCATGACTTGTATAATTTACCTACCTTCTCTGAGCTTTAATTTCCTTTTCCATAACATAAAAACAATATCTGCTGTACACTTCTTATATGGTTGTCCTGAGGATTAAATTAAATAACAAACATGAAATGGCATTTTATATTATTAGATGATATACAAATGTTATTATTACTGTGGATTGAGCTATTTTAATTTACATCTACGTGAACATATTTCACGGTTCACTTTTTCAGTAAGAGAACAATTCTGGGGAAAATTAAATCAATGTGTCATAGTCTCCAACTGCTCTGGTTGGAAGCAAATTTATAAAAAATAAAGAATGCATCTTGATAAACCTAATATTTCAGCATTAAATAGGATATAATTGGTTACTGATTTTTGAAAAAGTTTCATATCATTTAAAATTATATATAAGAGTTTAATACCAATAGCTGTTGTGCCCAGAATAGCCATTAAAAGAAAAAAGAAACATTTATGATTCAGTTAGGTTGTGGAAGAAGTCTCAGTTCTGTCTGGCTGTCAGTAATGGAGTAATAGCTAATGTTCATAATCATTATTTATTGAGCTAATGGAGTCCCTCAAAAGTGCAAATGGTTAACTTCCTTAACTGCTAACCAAATGGCTGGAGGTTCAAGTCTATCCAGTGGCACCTCAGAAGAAAGGCCTGACAATCTATCTCTGAAAAGTCTGTCATTGAAAACCCTATGGAGCAGTTCTTCTCTGACACGCATGGGGTCATCATGAGTTGGTGGTAGCTCCATGGCAACTGGTATTGAGCTAATATTACGTGCCACGCCAAGCACTGTTCTAAGTATTTTAAATACATCTTACTTAAGCCTCGAAAAATATCTGTGTGCTTGTCATTGCAGTGGTTCTCAAACCTCTACTTTTATCAAAATCACTTGATGAACTTTTACAATTCAGAACTCTTGGTTCCACCCCAAGGGTTTCTGATTCAACAGGGCTGAGCTGGGGCTTAGAAATCTGCACAGTTAGTAACTTCCTTAGGCGGAACTCTGCTGATGATTGGAGGACCACACCTAGACACACACTGCTGTGTTTTCTGTTGCCACACCCAATGCTCTGCCAACATTGGACTTCCTGTTTTAGCAAATGGGTCACTCTTCCCCATTCTTTTGTCCTACTCCATTGGTCCTTAAGGTTACATCTTAGATGTCTTCTCCTCCAGGACGACTTCTCTGGCCTCCCAAGATTGTTAGATGCCTCTTCCATGTGGTAGTGTAGCATCCTGTCCTTATCTCTACCTAGCATTTATCTCACTGTTCATGTTTCTCTGTATACTTGTCTATATATCCTGCTAGACTATGAGCTCTGAGGGGAGGGTTATGTCTTGTTCATGTCTGAATCCTCACTGCCTAGAATAGTGCCAGGCACAGAGGAGGAAACCAATAAACAGGTATTGAGTGGTCAGGTGTAAATGGTTCTATGTGGTGGCTGATCCTAATCAGCCTAGTTCAGCTGAGTCAACTGGACTACTTGAAGGTCCAGATTTAAATTGCGTTAGGGATCCTGGGCTAGACACGCTGGTGCAAGAGTTAAGGTTAAGGACACAGTCCAGCCCAGCCTGGCCTATTTATTGCTAGATTGTGGTAGAGCTTCCAACACAGGTTCTCAAGTAAGAATTCACTTCAGGTAGAAATAAGAAACCTAGCCCATGTGATTTCTTAGACTACTCTAATTTTCAGTGTAAGATAACATATTCTAGACACAGGCATTTCAACATTACAGAAAATGAGAAGGTTTCATTTTGAATCTGGGGTAGATTCAGTGTTTGGCAATGGTTGATGAAGAATTTCAGACAGCAGCAGTTTCCTTATTTGTAAAAAGTCTTTCTTATTGTAGTAGTCTCTGATTGCAAGTCAGTGAAAACCTTAAATCTTAGAATCACTGCATCATAGTCCTGGAAAGGCCTTTCAAGATTATAATTTGACAGACGAGGAAAGTTGGTTCAAATATTTATTCAGTGTCTACAGTGTACAAAAAGCCCAAACCAAAACAATACAAAACAAAACAAATACAAAACAACACCCAGACTGGAGGGAATCACATAATCAGGTTCACTTAGTTTTACGTTTCAAACAGATCCCAAATCACCTGAACTCCATGACACTCCCTGATGTGCCCCAGATATTTCCATGCTGAAATGAAATTGCTGACAGCACAGTACATACCTGTCTTATTCAGTCCTGCCCTGCAGCCAGCTTCTTCTACCCTCCACTGGGTTTTCAAGATTTCTTTTTATAATGTGTCATTTTTTTTTCCCAAGGTCCCGTATTATTTTAATAGTTGGCCTGTCGAGTGTGTATTCTTTCGGGCTAATTATCTTATTACTTATTTAAGACACATATCTGGAATTGGCAATAAGGGAACATTTAAGTGGAGCTTAGAAGGAAATGGAGGGCAGTTGAGCATGGTCATACTTAGGCAGTTAGATGGTTTTTGGCTCACGTTTTATGAGCATATATCTTATATTTTTGTATATCTCCTTTAAATATAATTAAACATTTGCCAACTGCTGATCATTTTCTCGAATAGAAGAGAGCTGAGGTTTCAGCAGTATAAAATGCTGGACACTCCAAAAATTATTGATATTTGAGTGTTTTTCTACTCATTTTTTTTTTTCAGCAAAATTTAGCTGAACATGTATTATATGTCAGGCACTGTGCTGGGCACTGGAGACATTTATATTCATATGACTATGAACATGGAGGATGATTCACAGTTTCATGTTAAATAAAACGTTAGACACATAATTTTAAAGAATAGAGACCCCATTGAGTTTCTTCATTCTATATTCCACTCGTACCAGAAGTATACTCTTGGTAGGAACAAGATTATTATCATTATTTCTTTTCAAGTTGATGAAAGATTTGCTTTCTCTCAAACTGTCTCTGGAGAGATTCTCCTGGTTTAGTTGGGATCTTATTTGCAAGTTGCATAGAGGGACTCTGGATGTCAACAGAGCTGTCATTAGGTACATTAAATGTTAGCTGCTAAAGCAATTTCTGAGACATAACCTAAGCAAGATTTAGATAGAACAAGTGGTTTCAATACACTGGAAGGGAAATTCTGCCTTTCATAAACCGTATTGTGTGGTCAGTTGATTGAAAGTGAATTGTACCACTATGCAGAAATCTCAGCAAGTGTGAAAAAGATTTAATGATGCAGAATTAGTTAGTGTTCATTTAGTCCCATTTTTAAAAATTTTTTTCCCATACAAAAATTTATACATACATTGTTATGTGACTCTAATTGCTTTCCACATACTGTGACAGCACACTTCTCCTTTCCACCTCTGATTCCCCATGTCCATTCAACCAGCTCCTAACCCTCTCTGCATTCCCATCTCACCTCTGGACAGAAGCTGCCCGTTTAGTCTCTTGTATCTACCTGAGCTAAGAGGAACACTCCTCACGAGTATCACTTTATGTCCCACAGTCTAGTCAAATCCCTGTCTGAAGAGTTGGCCTCAGGAATTGTTTTAGTTCTGGGCTGATAGAGAATCCAGGGGCCATGCTTTCCAGGGTTCCTCCATTCTCAGTCAGACCATTAAGTCTGATCTTCTTACTAGAATTTGAGTTCTGCACCCCACCTTTCTACTGCTCCATCAGGGACTCTGTTGTGTTCCCTGTCAGGGCAGCCATTGGTGGTAGCCAGGCACTATCTAGTACTTCTGGTCTCACGCTGATGAAGTCTCTGGTTTATGTGGCCCTTTCTGTCTGTTGGGCTACTACTTTCCTTGTGTCTTTGGTGTTCATTCTCCTTTACTCCAGGTGGTTGGGACCAATTGATGCATCTTAGATGGCCACTTGCAAGCTCTTAAGACCCCAGACACCACTCACCAAAGTAGGATGCAGAACATTTTCTTAATAAGATTTGTTATGCCAATTGACCTAGATATCCCCTGAAAGCATGGTCCCAAAACCCCTTCCCCTGCTACTCTGTCCCTCAAAGTGTTTGACTGTATTCAGGAAACTTCTTAGCTTTGGTTTAGTCCAGTTGTGCTGACTTCGCCTGTAGTGTGTACTGTCCTTCCCTTCACCTAAGATAATTCTTATCTACTATCTAGTTAGTAAATAACCCTCAACCTCCCTACCCACCCTTGTAATCATCAAAGAATGTTTTCTTCTGTGTGTAAACCTTTTCTTGAGTTCTTGTAATAGTTGTCTTATACAGTATTTGTCCTTCTGTGACTGACTAAATTCACTCAGCATAATGAATTCCAGCTTCCTCCATGTTATAAGATGTCTCACGGCTTCATCATTGTTCTTTATCGTGGCGTAGTGTTCCATTGTGTGGATATACCATAATTTGTTTATCAGTTCTTCTGTTGATGGGCACCTAGGTTGTTTCCATCTTTTTGTTATAGTGAACAGCACTGCAGTGAACATGAGTGTGCATATATCTATTCATGTGATGGCTCTTATTTCTCTAGGATGTATGCCAAGGAGTAGAATAGCTGGATCGTATGCTACTTCTATTTCTAGCTTTTTAAGGAAGCACCAAATCGATTTCCAAAGTGGTTGTACGATTTTACAGTCCCACCAACAGTGTATAAGTGTTCCAGTCTCTCCACAACCTCTCCAGCATTTATTATTCTGTGTTTTTTGGATTAATGCTAGCCTTGTTGGGGTGAGATGATGTCTCGTAGTTTTGATCTGCGTTTCTCTAATGACTAATGATTGTGAGCATTTCTTCATGTGTCTGTTAGCTGCCTGAATATCTTCTTTGGCGAAGTGTCTGTTCATATCCTTTGCCCAGTTTTTAATTGGGTTATTTGACTTTT